AGCAATCATCAGACGTCATTATAGCAGTAGCTGGGGAGCACGAGCTGGAAAGAGGAGACACTGTGGGGTTTATTTACTAAAGCTGGAGAGTCCAAAATCAGACTCCCTTCTGCATAGAAACCAATCAGATTCCAGGTTTCATTGCCAAAGCTTCATTGAACAAGCTGAGGTTAGAAGCTGATTGGTTTCTATGCAGAAGGGAGTCTGATTTTGGACTCTCCAGCTTTAGTAAATAAACCCCTGTATGTCTTCTAAACTATATTGCCATTTCTTAGGCCATATCTCTTCATTTCTTCTGTGATGTCTTTGCGCCTCTATGGTAAATGTCACAGTCAAGAAAGACAAACAAGGACAAGGACAAGGAAGGTCTTTCCTGTTCCTGGAATTTGGTGTGATATGGAGATGTGGATGGAATTTCGAACTGAATGCAGTCTATAACATTTTTTTTATTCTCTGAAAGAACCCATTCATACACTGCACCTACTGACCCTGGAAAAGAGAAGTACCGAAATAAAAGCTTTACATTTCCACTATTTCTTGCCTGCTATTCATCAATTACAGGAAGCTGAACCCAGTTCAGAATACACACCTACCTGTGTGCACCACCCAGGGATTACGTTCTCTTTTCCCATGTATGGTGCAGATGTAATAAACCCATTAATGGCCATTTACCATAATTATCTCAACCAGTTTAGCAGCTTTCCAATATGGGTGTATATACACACACACCATCCCTTTTAAATGTCCTATATGTTTCTAGAAAAGGGATTTTGATTATTAAAGTGTATGTTGCATAGTTACATTGAGGTTAGAAAAGACATAAGAAAAATGAATACATTTTAAAAAAAACTTGTAAAATTGTAAAAGTGCAGCTCTTGTAATATGACTAGATAAATATCTGAATAAATTACTGGATAATGTCCAAATAAAGTGCTTAGTAATATCCAAATAAAGTGCTTAATATCCAAATAAAGTGCTTAATATCCAGTGCTGGATATTAAGCACTTTATTTGGACATTATCCAGTAAGTTATTCAAATATTTATCTAGTCATATTACAAGCGCTGCACTTTTACAATTTTACAAGTTTTTTTAGAAGGTTTATGGTTTCCTTTTTAGTGTACTAGCTGCTTCCATCATTAACCATTAGCCGCCCGGCCTATAGCCGTTTGGCGGCGGAAAAAAAAAATGCTTCACCTTTCCGGGTGCATGCCATTTGGCGTGCTCCCGCACATGCGCAGTTCGCGTGGTTGCAGAGCCGTGCAGCGGCGCGATCTGTCACCGGCCGTGTACCTTGGACACGGCCGATGACAGATCTGAGTACCGACCCCCGTTGCCGGTACCATGTGACCTGCTGTGACCAATCACAGCAGGTCACATGACAGTTGTATACAATGGATGGCTTCATTCATGCCATCCATTGTATACTAGTGACTAGCTGTGGATGGTCACAGCAGGTCACATGCACATGTCATGTGATTAGCTGTGGCCAAATCACAGCTAAGCACAAAAAAAAACACCTGAATGAATCGATTTCATTCTGGTAAATGCTTGCTTATAGCAAAGTAATTCTTTGCTATAAGCAAATTGTGTAAAAAAAAAAGAAAAAAATACTGATCACTTCCCCCAAAGTAGTACAATGTTACTATGGTAACATTGTACTACTTTGGTCATAGTAAAATATGAAAAAAAAAAATAAAAAAAAATGTAATAAAAAATTTTAAATAATAAAAATATATATAATAATAATATATATATATATATATATATTTCATACTGTCACCAGTCAGTGTCCCTGTTCACCGCCATGCCAGTTATATGATGACGCTGTACTGCACTGGTGACAGTATGTAAAAAAAAAAATAGTAAAAATAATTTTTTTAATTTTTTAATTTTCCGAAAAATTATGACAAAAAAAAAAATACAACTTCAAAAAACTCGCCATGCCTCTTATGAAGTACGTCGGACTGTCTACTCTGCAAAAAGGGGTCATTTGGGGATATCTGTACTGTTCTGACATTTGAGGGATATCTGTACTGTCCTGACATTTGGGGGATATCTGTACTGTGCTGACATTCTTGGACCTCAAGAAATTAGATTGGCTGTCAGTACTTCAGGATTGATCAATATTCAGATCTATACCATAGTTTGTGAACTCTATAACTTTCCTACAAACTAAAAAATACATCCTAATTTGGGTTATTTTCACCAAAGACATGTAGCAGAATACATCTCGGCCTAAATTTATGAAGAACAATTATTTATTTACAAACTTTTATAACAGAAACAAAGAAAAAACGTGTTTTTTTTTTCAAAATGTTCGGTCTTTTTTTGTTAATTTAGCAAAAAATAAAAACCCCAGCGGTGATTAAATACCACCAAAAGAAAGCTCTAGTTGTGTGAAGAAAATGATAAAATTTTAGTTTGGGTACAGTGTTGTATGATTGCGCAATTGTCATTCTAGTGTGAGAGTGCTGAAACGTGAACAATTGCCTGGGCAGGAAGGTGTAAAATTGCCCGGTATTGAAATGGTTAAGCGCTCGCTGAGTCCCTCTTTATTTTAAAAAACCTGCATATCTACTTGTGGACCGCCCGCCCACCCACCCGTCCGCAATCACTGTGGACAGTACTGGTGCGTCGCTGCCGTCTTCCTTCTGTAGGGAACACGGATGTGCACCTCCCTCCTGACACCCGCTGTAATTGTACACAGCAACAGTCTGTCAGCATGTCCCAGCCAATGATTCAGGGCCAAGACCAGCTGATCAGCTGTGATCAATCACAGCCCAGAGCTCTGTGTTGACAATCGACAGATTGGCTCTGTAAAGAGGGAACAATATCTCTGTAGAAACAAATAGATGTCTCAGTAAAAACAGCACATAATACACATTTTTAGACAAACCCCTTGATCACCCTAAATGTTAACCCCTTCCAAGCCAGTATCATTAGTACAGTGACAGTGTATAGTATTATCCCTGATCACTGTATTAATATCACTGTGGATGTCAGTGGCAGTTAGTCAATTTTTTCCCCCTTGGCATCAGTGTCAGATTGCCCGCCACGCTATTGCAGTCCCATTATACGTTGCTGATCATCACCATTAGTATAAAAAAAAAGGTCAAAATTTCAGTATATATACACCATAGTTTGTAGGTGCTCTAACCCTCACGCAAACCAATCAATATACATGTATTGTTTTTTGGGGTTTTTTTTTTACCAAAGACATGTAGCAGAATTAATTTTGGCAAAAATTTATATTTGAATGATGTCATCTCTGGGAGTTTTTTAGCCAGGCTTCAGGAGGTAAACAGCCAACACCTATAGCAAAGGCATTATTCAACTTAAGTCAAAGCTGCACTGTCTGTACAGTGGATATAAAAAGTCTACACCCCCCTTTTAAAATGTCAGCTTTCTGTGATGTAAAAAAATGAGACAAAGATCATTCATTTCACAACTTTTTTCACCTTTAATGTGACCTATAAACTGTACAACTCAGTTGGACAACAAGTTCAACTAAAAAGTAAAAATAAAAAACTAAATAATACTGTTGCATAAGTGTGCACACCCTTAAACTAATACTTTGTTGAAGCCCCTTTTGATGTGATTCCAGCGCTCAGTCTTTTTGGGGAGGAGTCTATCGGCATGGCACATCTTGACTTGGCAATATGTGCCCACTCTTCCTTGTAAAAAAACACTCCAAATCTGTCAGATTGTGAGGGCATCTCCTGTGCACAGCCCTCTTCAGATTACACCACAGATTTTTGATTGGATTCAGGTCTGGGCTCTGGCTGGGCCATTCCAAAACTTTCATCTTCTTCTGGTGAAGCCATTCCTGTGGTGATTTGGATGTATGCTTTGGGTTGTCATGATGAAAGATGAAGTTCCTCTTCATGTTCAGCTTTCTAGCAGAAGCCTGAAGGTTTTGTGCCAATATTGACTGGTACTTGGAACTGTTCATAATTCCCTCTACCTTGACTAAAGCCCCAGTTCCAGCTGAGGAAAAACAGTCCCAAAGCATGATGCTGCCACCACCATGCTTCACAGTGGGTATGGTGTTCTTTTGGTGATGTGCAGTGTTGTTTTTATGCCAAACATATCTTTTGGAATTATGGCCAAAAAGTTCAACCTTGGCTTCTCAGACCAGAACACATTTCCCACATGCTTTTGGGAGACTTCAGATGTGTTTTTGCAAAATTTAGGCGGGCTTGGATGTTTTTCTTCATAAGAAAAGGCTTCCGTCTCACCACTCTACCCCATAGCCCTGACATATGAAGAATACGGGAGATTGTTGTCACATGTACCACACAGCCAGTACTTGCCAGATATTACAGCAGCTCCTTTAGGCTCCATGCACACGGGGCATTTTAATAACCCTGGTAACGTTAGCTGTGTAAAGTCACATTTCTTATGAAGCCAAATTGTTACTAAACCCACAACAGTACAATCAGTCTGTAGATGCAGTAAAGCATGCCTGTTATACTCACTGTGGAACCTAAGGGGTCAATCCTCCACATTGTGCAAAAAGGCTGTTTGATCCTGTCTTCTCTGATCCTCCCCTTCTTCCACTGTCCCCAATCCATCTTCTGATAGTACAAAGCTCTAGGAGTCACTCTGCACATGCTCAGTTTAGTGTAGAGTTTTTTTTTTTTTGGAGAGTGCAAGATCAGCACAGGGCCAATCTGCGCTGTCCAGACAGAGGATCAGGGGTTATGCAGCCTCATAGGACAATCAGGGGAGAATGAAAATTCCTCCTACAAGCTTTAACCACTGTTCTGCTGGACACTGATAGAAGTCACAAGACTGCTCTAACTGCTGATGAGAAAAGGTATTTTAGCAGTTTATATTTCCTAAAATAATTGCATTTCCATGTTCTGTGTACTGTGGGAGACCAGATATAGTGAATGCAGGGTCTGGGGAGACCAGATATAGTGAATGCAGGGTCCGGGGAGACCAGATATAGCGAATGCAGGGTCCAGGGAGACCAGATATAGCGAATGCAGGGTCCGGGGAGACCAGATATAGTGAATGCAGGGTCCTGGGACACCGGATATAGCGAATGCAGGGTCCGGGGAGACCAGATATAGTGAATGCAGGGTCCTGGGACACCGGATATAGTGAATGCAGGGTCCTGGGACACCGGATATAGTGAATGCAGGGTCCGGGGAGACCAGATATAGTGAATGCAGGGTCCGGGGAGACCAGATATAGTGAATGCAGGGTCTGGGGACCGGATATAGTGAATGCAGGGTCCGGGGAGACCAGATATAGTGAATGCAGGGTCCAGGGAAACAGATATAGTGAATGCAGGGTCCTGGGAGACCAGATATAGAGAATGCAGGTCCGGGGTGACCAGATATAGAGAATGCAGGTCCGGGGTGACCAGATATACTGAATGCAGGGTCCGGGGAAACCAGATATAGTGAATGCACGGACCAGATATACTGAATGCAGGGTCCGGGGAGACCAGATATACTGAATGCAGGGTCCTGGGAGACCAGATATAGTGAATGCAGGGTCTGGGGAGACCAGATATAGTGAATGCAGGCTCCGGGGAGACCAGATATAGTGAATGCAGGCTCCGGGGAGACCAGATATAGTGAATGCAGGGTCCGGGGAGACCAGATATACTGAATGCAGGGTCCTGGGAGACCAGATATAGTGACTGCAGGGTCCGGGGAGACCAGATATAGTGAATGCAGGGTCCGGGGAGACCAGATATAGAGAATGCAGGTCCGGGGCGACCAGATATAGTGAATGCAGGGGCCCGGGGAGACCAGATATAGTGAATGCAGGGACCGGGGAGACCAGATATAGTGAATGCAGGGTCCGGGGAGACCAGATATAGTGAATGCAGGGTCCGGGGAGACCAGATATAGTGAATGCAGGGTCCGGGGAGACCAGATATAGTGAATGCAGGGTCCGGGGAGACCAGATATACTGAATGCAGGGTCCGGGGAGACCAGATATACTGAATGCAGGGTCCTGGGAGACCAGATATAGTGAATTCAGGGTCCGGGGAGACCAGATATACTGAATGCAGGGTCCGGGGAGAGCAGATATAGTGAATGCAGGGTTTGGGGAGACCAGATATAGTGAATGCAGGGTTTGGGGAGACCAGATATAGTGAATGCAGGCTCCGGGGAGACCAGATATAGTGAATGCAGGGTCCGGGGAGACCAGATATACTGAATGCAGGGTCCTGGGAGACCAGATATAGTGACTGCAGGGTCCTGTGGAGACCAGGGACCAGGGAGATCAGATATAGTCAATACAGGGTCTGTGGAGACCAGATATAGAGAATGCAGGGTCTGGGGAGACCAGATATAGTGAATGCAGGGTCCGGGGAGACCAGATATAGTGAATGCAGGGTCCGGGGAGACCAGATATAGTGAATGCAGGGTCCGGGGAGACCAGATATAGTGAATGCAGGGTCCGGGGAGACCAGATATAGAGAATGCAGGGTCCGGGGAGACCAGATATAGTGAATGCAGGGTTCTGGGAGACCAGATATGGAGAATGCAGGGTCTGGGGAGATCGGATATAGTGAATGCAGGGTCCGGGGTTTCGTAAAAACACTTTAAGGTCTTAACCTATTGAACCTCTTTGAGAGAGAACATTATGTCTGCATACGCCAAGAGAGCGATTGTGCATCTGTCAACACTGAGCACTTCATCTTCTGTGAAAAAAAGAGTTATGATCAACGACAATCAGATAAATTCCTGAGCAAAGTTCTAGAGAACAGTCAGTTAACTGATTGGGGGGGGTTTCCATCCTCTTATCGCCCATTACTGGCTGTTGGACTCCCTTCCTCTTCCCTGTTAGTGACACAACTGATGACAGCAGGTGTACACACTTGTTTCATTTTCCTCCCACAGAATGAACCGGAATACAGCCAATTTAATGTCAAGTTTATTTTGCTTATAATTTGCCTCCCAATAAAATCTTTCCGATTTCATTAGATGCCTTATTTTAGACCCAGTGGCACCATCACTAGGCCTCTGTGCTTCTCTGTGCAATGCAGGCAGATCATGGCTGTTGGGAGGGGCCAGCAGGGTGCTGTATACAGCTTTCTGAAAACATCACAGCACCTTTCCCCAGTACTCTTCTCAAGAGCCATCAACATTGATGAAAACAGTGGGAGGAGTTATGCAAATATCAAAAATGTCTTGATGATAGGATGTCAGTCTGGAGGAGTGGGCATTTCTAAGCCAGCTGGGAGGTCACACCCACATGTAATGCTGGGCCTCTATGACTGAAACTGAGACCCAATGAATGGAAGGGATAGCCAGGCTGGGGAGGAAAGATCTTGATTAGGGGTGGGCAACTGTGGCCCTCCAGCTGTTGTAGAACTACAAGTCCCATGAGGCATTGCAAAACTGATAGTTACAAGCATGACTCCCAAAGGCAGACGCATGGTGGGACTTGTAGTTCACATACAGCTGGAGGGCCACAGTTGCCCACCCCTGATCTAGATGATGCTGGACGTACTCCAGCCAGGAAATGAGATGGAGCTCTATCTGACTTGCTGCAGCTTCTAATGCTGACCCTCCATGATTGAAAGAGCTGACATCCAATTCATGAAAGGGGTGGGTCAGGGACCATCAGGCTGGGTACAAAGAGCTAGATGATGCTGGGCATGTCTGGCCAGGAAATGAGGCGGCCTCTGTCTGACTTGCTGCAGCTTCTAATGCACATTGTGAGAAGCTCACAGTGTGCAGTGAAATCAGAGGAAGCCATTTCAGTCCAGGAGAGGAGCCGGTACAACTGTGCGAGACTGGAGGTCAGATTTAAAGTGTAACCCCCTGCCAAAACTTTTGTTTATTCAATTTTACATTGAGCAGTGATGAGAACCCTTGTCAGAGTGGGAATCTCTTCAAGATAAGGGGGTACCCCACCTCTGACAGCTGTCACTGAGATAGGTGTCCCCAGTGGAATATTCTCCCTCCAATCAGCTATAACAAATATGGGATCCCGCCTCACTTTGGGGTGGATTTACTAAAGGCAGATAGACTGTGCGCTTTTCCACCCTGCAGGTTCGGTTGCTCCAGATCTTATTAAAGGAGGGATACGATCTGTTGACTCCAGGGGCGGACTGACAACTCATGGGGCCCCCGGGCAATAGGGGATCATGGGGCCCCTGTGTCCTTGCCCACACTCAAACCACACCCAATAAAAAAGCCTATGAAAGGTACCAGGGACATCTCATGGGGCCCCCTACTGACCCCGGGCCCTCGGGCAGTGCCCCAGTTCCCCAATGGTCAGTCCGCCCCTGGTTGACTCCCATTGTCCAATCATGTGCAAGCAAAAATGCCTTTTTTTTTTTTTTGGCAAAGTGAAGCTTCCCCTCATTTACTAAGCCCTGGCTCAACTGCACTTGCAAAATGCAGTCTATTTGCCTTTAGTAAATCCACCCCCTTGTCTCCTGTCTTGGTGGTCACCAGGACCAATTGTGAGGTCAGAACCCACCAACTAGGGCACAGACATCTATAAATACCCATCAGAGGTTCAGCTCTTCCCTGTGTGATCCAAAACTAGAACGAAAAAAAATATGGATGGGTTTTACACTTTAACCACTTTCAGTCCGGACACTTTCCCCCCCTTCCTGTCCAGGGCAATTTTCAGCTTTCAGCGCAATCACACTTTGAATGACAATTGTGCGGTCATGCAACACTGTACTCAAATGAATTTTTACCATTTTTTTGAGACAGATAAAGCTTTATTTTGGTGGTATTTATTCACCGCTGGGATTTTTATTTTTTTTTCTATGTAAATGAAAAAGTCCAAAAATTTTGAAAAAAAGTGTTTTTTTTAATAAAATTTTGCAAATAAATAATATTTCATCATAAATCTTTGCCAAAATTTATTCCGTTATCTTTTTAGTAAAAAAAAATCCAAATTAGTTTATAACCAAAAATTATAATTTTTAAACATTTTTTTTACATTTTTTTTTTATTTTTTTTATATTATTTTTTATTTATTTTTTATTTTTTTTACATACTGTCACCCTAGCAGTACAGTGTCACCATGGTGACACTGTACTACTTGTGGGGGGGGTGATGAAGATTTTTTTTTTTTTACACTGATTGCTTTTACACCCATATAGGATGTAAAAGCAATCATTTCTCCTTCTCTCTGTCTGCATTCTTGCACTCATTGAGAAGTACTGAGTGAGCTCCTGTGATTGGTCACAGCTTGTCACATGGTACAAGGCTGTTGTGAATAGCCTTGTACCATGTGACCTCTGTGATCATTCACAGATTTCACACGTAGTAAGCAATGATGTCACAAGTGACATCTTGCTTATTACTTTCCCAATCAGTGATCATATGATAGGGACCTCGTACAGAGGTCCCGTCCGACGATCGGTGTTTCATTGTGTCCGGAGTACACTGCGGGCACCGGATCGCGGTACTGCGTGCTCCCAGGGAGCGCGCACAAGCAGGGTGCGGGGAGGCCGTTTATAAACAGCCACCCGACCCTGCACTGCCACCGTCCGGCCGTTTATATGCAACAGCCGGTCGGGAAGTGGTTAATACAAGACTCGACCAAAGTGTAATTCTAAACGTGTATTTGTTGTATGACCAAACATTAGGATGGGGGAAGACGCGTGACTCTGACTGTAGGATAATTGTTGGCATTATACGTGGTGGTTGTTCTCTGATCTCCTGAGGTTTCCCACACACTTAGTCTTTAACCACTTGAGCTCCAGAGGATTTACCCCCCTTAATGACCAGGCCTCTTTTTGCTACTCGGTGCTGCACTAATTCAACTGATAATTGCGCGGTCATGCAATGCTGCACCCAAACAAAATTTACGTCCTTTTTTTCACACAAATAGAGCTTTCTTTCGGTGTAATTTGATCACCTGTGCGCTTTTTATTTTTCACACTATAAACAAAAAAAGCCAAAAATTTTGAAGAAAAACGATATTTTTTACTTTCAGCTATAAAAAATATATAGTAAACTCAAAGTTGGTTATAAATTTAGGCCAAAATGTATTCTGCTCCATGTTTTTGGTAAAAAAAAAATCCCAATAAGTGTATATTGATTGCTTTGTGTGGAAGTTATAGCGTCTACAAACTATGGTATAGATACTGCAATTTACGCCATTTTTTTGCTATACAGCGCTGCGCTAGTTTAACGGACAATTGTGTGGTCATGCAATACGGTACATAAATGAAATTTACATCCTTTTTTTTCCCACAAATTGAGCTTTCTTTCGGTGGTATTTGATCACCTGTGCGGTTTTTATTTTTTGCGCTTTAAAAAAAAAAAGGATGACAATTTTGAGGAAAAAAAAAAAAAAATATTTTGGACTTTTTGCTATAAAACATGTCAAGTAAAAAAAAATTTAAAAATCAAATTTAGTCATAAATTTCTGCCAAAATGCATTCTGCGATGTCTTTGCTAAAAAAAAAAACCCAATACGTGTAAATTAATTGGTTTACGTGAAAGTTATAGCATTTACAAATGGCGGGAAAGATACTGGGATATTTAGGTTTTTTTTATACTAATAATGGCGGCAATCAGCGACTTATGGCGGCGATCAGTGACTTATGGCGGGACCGCGGCGGACATTCTGACATTGGGGGTTACTGACTTGGGGTCACTGACATCCCCAGTGACACCAATACAGTGATCAGTGCAAAAAAAAAAAAACACTGACACTGTACTAATGGCACTGGGGAGGAAGGGGTTAAGTTTATTATTCAGGGAAAGGGTTAACTGTGTGAGGGGAGTGTTTTACTAGGGGGCGGGGGTGTGTGCTGCAGGGAACACCGCTGATCAGGAGAGAGAAACTCTTCTGTCTCGATCAGCGTGTCTGGAGCTGTCAGGGAACTGACAGAAAGCACAGCTACTGCTGTGCTCTCTGTCAGCGATTACCGCCGATCACCGGGACATAGCCGGTAACGACCGGCTGTGACCCGGAGACTGACATCCGCGGCTGTGATGGCGGGACAGGTAGGGCGGCGGCGCGCCTCGCGCACGCCCCCTACCTGTTTTAAAAACACACATTTTAAAACATGCTTTTGCCCAGCCGTGCCGCCCTGCCGCCGTATTTATACACTGGACTGGGCGGCATGTGGTTAAAGAGAATAATGCAAAATACGCAAAAAAAAAAATGTCACTTTTTAAGGTGGCCTTCTCTAAACGAAAGATCTCAAAAAGAGAACAGCAGAGACCGGTTTGAAGCAAAAGCCCCCCTTTTTTCCAAAGTAGACAACACCATCCAAAGAGAGACTCAGAGCTTTCACTGTAATGATACAACACCCTAGGATCCTTCCCCAGCAGCTTAGGCTTTAGAGGAGGTGATGGGAGGGGTGGAGGAGCTGGACCTGCATAGACAGTAATTAGACACTCCCAGCAGAGGACAAGGCTATGACATGCAAGGAGGGAAAGGTTGTGCTAGAGAATTGACTCTTCCTGGAGAGTAGTCACATTTTCTAGCAAAAAAACAACAAATAAAGGAGCACTCCCAAGCCTGTGGAAGTCAATAGAGTCACAAGCAGGGGCAGACTGACCATTTGGAAACTCGGGCGCTGCCCAAGGGCCCGGGGTCAGT